GCCCTTCGTTGCATCATCAGTGCCGTAAAATATAATGCATCAGTGTTCAGACTCGTCTTCCAATAATATAACATAGCAAGTTCATCACAAATGCCCTTTGTATATTTGTATTTTTATTGTGCAAGAATTAGAGGTGAAGAGAGAGTAAAATGTGTTTTTGTTATTGTGAAAATATTTTTTTTTTCTTTTGGTATTAATTTAAGTAATCTTGAATTTTTTTTTGTAGTTGAATTGTTGTTGCAATAATATAAATAATGTTGTATTTTGTCAGTTCTATTGAGTTGCTGATTTTGGTAATGCTTCTCAATCATTTTTTTTTTTTTTCTTCCCCCCTCCCGTTATGATTATGATGATTTATTTTTGCTAATATGATTTGACATGGAAATGATAATGACGTGCAGTGGTTTAAAATGGAGGTTGGAAATAATAAATGCAATGTTACTCTTACTAGATTTATTCTAGAGCATCTCAACAAGTGTTTTGACAATCATTGCGTCGTGATGAAGACGTGATGCTTTTTTCTTCATCAAACCATGACGTTCACCTGGATAGAGAACAATGTGGTATGGTTTTCCCTCTTCTATCATGGCATTAATAACAGCACATGTGTTAAAGAAGTGTACATTTTCATCCAGTAAACCATGAGCGATAAAAACACGATTTAAGTCATCTGGGAATCCTGATACAAAGTTTGCAATGGTGCTATGGAGATAAGCTTGACTCATTATCTTTCTTTTTCCTTCTTTCCCAGTCTCTGCTCCCTCCTTTCTTTCTTCTTCCTCTTCTTTTTCTTCTCCCTCTGTTGTGTAGAGTTCACCCATGTATCGCTCGGTGTATCCGGTATCGTAGAGTCTCCAATCCCCCACAGGAGCGCCGGCAAATCCGATTTTAAACACATCCGCCGCCTGCGACATCGCCAGCAGAGTGGCGTAGCCCCCGTAGGACCAGCCAAAGACCGCCAATCGTGCGGGATCTACTGTTAATCCACACGGGAGACGCGTTGAGGAAGAAGAAATATATCGTGCGAAATCTACATAGTCACTGGTTTCAAAGTTACCCATGTTATGTTTGCAGATGCTGAGATCACGTAATCCATTCGCATTACTCATTTGTCCATCCGCAACCAATACCGATATACCCATCTTTACTAACAGTTGAAAGATGGCTTTGCAGGTACCATCATAGTCGTTTTCATACACAAGTTGTACATGTGGACCACCATAGACGTAAATAGCCAATGGAGCAGGTTTACCAGGAACCACATGAGGGGATACAAACAATCGACCACTGAGAGGAACACCTCGTCTATTAACAGTGGTGATAATGGTTGGAATGACCAAATCATCCAATTTAATACTACTACTAGTTTTTATCTTTTCCTTTTCTCCCGTTACATCTGCTGTATACCATTTGGTTTCAATTAAATGTCGTACAGTTGTATTATGTAATGTAGTTTGATATAATTCCGGTGGTTGAGATGCTGTACCAGCCACATAACATAATAATCCATTCTTTACGGTAAAATTGTAAACATGTTCATTAAGAGGTGAAAGTCGTGTTAATTGATCTTCCGATGCCGCTTGTTCACTTATTTGTAGTGGTACACTGAATAATATATTTCCTATTCTATTACCTGCGTTTGCAATAAATATAACTCTATCCGAGATTACCCACAGACTGTCTGGTTTTACATTCCATTCCCCTTGTGTTAATGGTCGCCATGCATTTTTATCAGTCCCACTTTTTCGTACAAAGATATGATAATGAGCTGTAGGAGTATCACTGGCATGACAGACCGTAATATCATAATCATTTCCAAATATAATAGGTGGACCTGGTTTCACTTCTACCCATGCCCATGGTATACTTTGTTCCCATTCTATAGTAAAGGTGGGCATCGCCACAGAGGATGTGGATCCCTGTTTCTTGTTAAGATGAGAAGTATCTTTTTCTGAATGTGTGTTGGAATTAGCATGAGTGTTTTCATCTGAGAAGTATTTCGCTATTTCATTGACTTCCACCACTGGGAGAGATTCTATTGGACAGGATAACACACAATACTGTTCCTGTGTTCTACTGAGTAGAGAAAAGTAAATCGTATGATGATCTTTAAAACCAAATCGTGGAATGTATTCTGCCCATGGAGCTATAGTGTTAATAGCATCTCGTGGGATAACTCGATAGCGTTTATCTTTTAATTCATACACAACAATAACACTGCGGGCATTTGGATCTCCCACTCGACAATACATCATTTCCTCTATAGAGGAGTTATCCGTACCATCAAGAAGGGAAACCAAACGTAACATGGAAGTATCGGTATAAGTAAATAAAACATAATGATCTGTAGAATAGTGTCCAGTATATCGGGAGAACTCTTCTTGCATAATATAATCTGCCGTTCCACATTCATGTAATTTATCCCCAAATGTTGTTATACTTTCCACATCTACAATAAGAGGTGGTAGAGTTGTATCATCTTGTTGTTCCGTAATAGTTGCCCTATACAAGTTACTATCATATATAAAGGTAATAATATTAAGCATATTGGTATGTGTATGTTCATCATCTTCTGAAGGTAGAGAGTTGTGAACATGTTCAAGATGTTGAATACAAAGAAAAGGTTTACCTTCTGTAGAAAAGAATCGTTTTCTTGTCTCTTCATGGATATAATCAAATATTTTCAATGGTGCCTGTTGACGGGATGGATAGTATAAAAACATATTGGTTCCACTTGTAAAGAATACCGCTTTATCGTATGAACGTACACGGTAACTACTAATACCTGTTACCCGTCGTCGTAGTCTTTCTCTTAACAATTCCTCTTCCTTTGATATTGGGCGAGACTCATCAATAGACTTCTGCGCAGTCTCTTCTTCTTCTTCTCTCAGAATAACACGTGTGGGAACGGCATTTGTGTCTTCAAGAGAAACTGTAAAGAGTTCTTGATTCATACCTTGTAGCCAATAGAGTTGTTGATTTATTATAGATAGTTGTTGGGGCTTTCCTGGTCCAGTGGTGGAGGTATCGAAGGATCTTAGCGCCTCCACGTATGTTTTAAGAGGAAGTTTAGACATTTTTGTTCTTTTAAGCTCTCCTGTTCTTTTTTTTTTTCTTTCTTTGTTTGTTTGTTGTTGTTCTTCTTCTTTCTATTCTTCTTTACTTTGTACGTTGTTGTGTTAAAGAAGAAAATAAAATGAAAAGAAAAGAAAAAAGGGAAATCTCTCTAATACCCAAATATATATATATATATATATATATTAGTCTTGGTGTATAAACATATCTCTCTCTCTCTGTGTGAACAGACTGTAGAAATTTAAGAAGGAAATATGCAGAATATTAACTCACACATATTATATATATATATATATTGTGTATATATAGATAGGTAGGTTTAGATAGATAGACAGATATACCTCCATATGCATTGTACGAGAAGGTAGAACTGGAAATTAAGTCAATGCGAGAAACAAAATTGGTATTATTCTCAACATGCTCTCTCTCTCTCTTTCTCAATATAAATAAATAATATGAACTAGAAGCGGAACTGAAAGACACCAACAACAACCACGATGACAATAATGAAAGCAATGCCAAAACAACAACAACAACAACGACAACAAACAATGATGGAAAAACAAAAACAAAAACAAAAAACAATACAACTGAAAAAGGAATAAAAAAGTAATAACTCGATGCATTAACAGATGGCATCAATAGAAATATATCATTTAAATTTAAAATTTACTGTATTACACCTTCATTATGTAGAGATAAACTTTACAGATACACACAGTGTGAATTTAATAGACCGTATAGATATATACGCTTCGTGTAGACATTTACGTGAAATGAATACTACTAATAATAGTAATAATAATAATAATAATAATAATAATAATAATAATAATAAACAAAAAAAAAACAAAGAGAGAATGAAAGAGAACAACACAAACTATAAACAACATAAACTATAAACAACAACAACAACAAGAAGAAGAATATTAACAACAACTCACACAATGTAGATATAATTATCCGTCCCTTCCCGTGCAAGGAACTCCCGTTCAATCAATTCCGCCAGACACGACTTCAACATGGGCCCCGTGACCGCAAACTGCATTCCCAACTGCTCCGCCGCACAACTGAAGAGACTCACGTGAGAGAGTCGACGTTTACTTTTCATTATCCGCACAATACAGGCCTCCAGTTTCTTCATTCGCTCCACATCCACCATTCCACTGAGGGCATTCACAGAGGATTTGCCCTCACCGCGGGGATCCTGTGCGTGTGGGACCCAATGATGAATGGCATCCGCCGCATCAATGACAATCTTTCGCTTTTTGCAAGCCGTGAAGTTAGATGGTAGAGTGTACGTGTAGAAACCCTTTCCATTCACACCGACTCTTTTATTATTATTATTATTATTATTATTATTATTATTATTATTATTATTAGTGTCTGTTTCCTCTTCACTGTGGAAGTGTCTGCGAACGATGCCATGTCGGACCAATCCACTCAACAGTACCCCAAAAAGTGGCTTTGGTACTTTCACGGGTAATAAAGAATATAGTGCCTCAAATGTGAGAGCTCTGCTTGTGTCTGTGTCTGTACTACACAATCTATCCTGTCGCTCTAATGCCTGCAGTAATAGTAATCCAACAGGCGGCATGGTGATCTGCACAGTACTCTCCGGCTCATCTTTTTCTATTTGTGCGGCATGACAAACAACTGTGAGAGTTCCAGCGCCCAACGACCACGAGAGAAGTCGTCGCTGAACTCCACGATGTGTAGTTGTGGATGCGACTCCCATGGGAGAAACCAGAGATGCAGGTAATCTACTTTCACGGTTCATATTGTTATTGTTATTGTTGCTGTTGTCATGATAATAATAATAATGACTGTTATTATCATTATTATTATCGTTGTTGTTACTGTTATTATAATGAGAAATATTCGTATTGGTAATAATATGATGGTTATGATTGGTATTGGAGTACTGAAGGTTATTATAATGATGCGGTGGGTTCCTACTACTATCATCATTATTATTCATATTATTATTATTATTATTATTATTATTATTATTATTATTATTATTATTATTATTATTATTAAAGAGATTATTTCTCCCATCTTCCAGAGTGGATGAACTTTTATGCATATAGGCATCATAACACTTCTCAAACACTTCCACCGTCTTTAACATACTTTCATCAAACCATCCTTCTGTCTGAAAGTGTAATTGCATCTCTGTCAATCGTATCATAACAGGTGTATACTTTTCCCATCTAGCACTACAGAGAACACGTACATCATCCATAAATGGAGATGAATCTTCCATCACAGTAGTATTAGTAGCATTAACACAACAAACATCTATCATACTTCCTCGCACATCCCGCAATAATGCAAAGAGATCAGAGGCTAATGAATTCCCTAATCGAACCGATAAACGTGAAATAACTTCCGTATCCACCTCTAATTCCGTTACCTGTCGCATCTTCATAAGTCTTGGTGCCAACAGACCGGCATAACAGTCAATAAAGAGATCTTTCGAGTGAAGAAGAGAAACAAGTTCAAGAATAGTATCCACAATCTCAAGATGACCCGCATCTACCGCGGTATCTCGCACCACTTGTGTATATAATGCACTTGCCAAGGTGAGAATCACGGAGGGTTCACGGCGAAGAAAAAAGGTTTGTATACCTTTTCGCACAGCCCGAAGTGTTGCGTAGATTCCTCCAGCTGCAATTGGCTGTAGCATTTGATTCGTCATTTTAAGAAGAAATACACAACATTGATAAACCTCACGTGGGAGAGAACGTGGAGTCTCACTTACACCTTGTTCCTTCGCCAGAAGATCCTCCAGGTGTTGTTGGACCGCCACCGCAAAGTGTAATTCAAACTCTTCAAGTAAACGAAGTTCTGGACTAATAAAAAAGATAAGGGTTGCCAATCCAGGATGTGGAGGTACTGAACTAGTACTGTTATTATCATTATTATGATGATGATGATGATTATTATTATTATTATTATAATGATGATGATAACTCCTTTGAGTACCATTTAGGGAGGTCTCTTCTGTTTCCCCTAATTGTGAGAGGGCTTCACTCATAGAATGAAAAATAACAGAACTATCACTATTATTATTATTATTATTATTATTATTATTATTGAGATGTTCCCCATCAGAGTCGTATGGAAAACTTCCTGTATCTCGTAATGGCCGTTTACACTCTTCTGTGCATGTATGCAGCCACATTGGCATAGCCCAGATATCCACAAACTTCATGAGAACATCGCCTTGACAAAATCCAATAGAAAATGCACGTGTGGCCTGTGCTGCCCGTTCTCTTCCAAGTTGTGAGATTTTATCAAGAAAGTGTTTGGTCCCACCAAAGAAGAGAAGAACAGCACTGCGTAGTTGTAAGAAGGCATTCATACATTGATGTAAGGAAGCGGTAACATCCTCTAGTGTAGGTGTATTCTTCTTCATCTCCTCACTATTATTATTATTATTATTATTATTAATATTATTGGGATTACACTTTCCAGTGTGAACAAGGAGAGGTCCCAATTTCACCTGCGCCAATTCAAATCCCTGTTGTTTGCAGAGTTCCACAACTCTTTCCGTAACGGCATTTGTAATGCTAGAAGCCCGACAGTCATCTAACATTGTGAAGACTCGAAAGATAAGAGACGTATCACCTTTCCAAATACGTTGTAATAGATAAGGAAAGGAAGAGACTTCCATATCTTCTTCTGAAGTTGATGCTGATAATCTGAGTTTATTATTATTATTATTATTATTATTATTATTATTATTATTATTATTATTATTATTATCAAAACACTTCTTTACTAGACACTGCTCCGCTGCATGACAGAGAATCTTTTCAATCATAATCTTATTATACTGTAGTGTTAAAAATACAGAACTACGCAGAATACGCCATGCAATTTCATTCATTTCAACATCCACTCGAAGAAATACAATCTTTAAAAGCCACCGCATACGAATATAATGTAAGGAAAAACTAACAAGTGTATGAAGTGCCATTACATCTTCTTCATCCTTCGTATGGACTCTCATATTACTACTATTATAATTACTATCACTATTATTATTATTATTATTATTATTATTATTATTATTATTATTATTATTATTATTATTATCTTTATAACTATCATTATTATGATCATCACCTGGTTCGTTATCCATTTGACTTTTAGAAATGGATGAATTCTTTATCTCTGCAACTGCAAACTTTCCCACAGACTGTAACCATGATTTACTATTTGCCTGCAGTGCCTCTTCCCAAAGACTTTCAAGCATCTCTGTTGACCACGATAATTGTGGTGGAGTTAATTCCCCAGTATCCTGTAATGGATATATACAAAGTCGGTTATTACTGCATATACACAGTTGCTCCAACCAGGCACGAATAGAGGAGGCGAGAAGATGCTGAAGAACAACAGCATTAGACCAGAATCCCACCTTACCGTAGATCGATACCATACCATACACTTCAGCATAAAGCATCGATATATTTCCAATATCTGCTGCTTCTGTAAAAGAAGTTTTTTCCTCATGTTTTTCACTTGTTTCTTTTTTCCCTTGATTTCTTTCATCTTCTTGTGTAGATACCAAATTATTGTTATTCGTATCTTCTCTTGATTCCAATAGAGAAAAAGAGTTTAGTTTTTCATTACTATTCTCATTATTGCTCTCACAGATACCGTTATGATTACTAACTGAAAAAGAATGTAGTGCGTGAGAACTATTCGCAAAGTAAATGAGAGCATCATTTATTACATTCCATTTCCGCACCCAATGGATTAGTACCCTAGCGTCTTTTTCCATTCTTTACCTCTATTACACAAAGTAAACCCATTAAAGAGAAAAAAAAAACAAAGAAAAAAAAAGAAGAAGAAACATCATGATCGTCTATGCAGATATATATATATATATATATATATATATATATATATACAGCATACATACATAGATTCCAAAGAAAAAAAAGTAAACATTTGTGTTTGAGATTTCTTAATTGCCTATACAAGTACATGCATACAAATTGCACACACGCACATTTTCCAAAAAAAAAAAAGTCCCACAAATAAACATCTTTTTTTTCTCTTTTACTCTTTCATCTGTGGGTAATGAGAGAGTAAAAGAAGGCGAGAGGGAGAGAGAGGGGCAAAAAAAAACAAAAAAAAAACAAATAAACCAATATATAGAAAAAGAAAAAGGACTTACAGATTGATACCACTGGCCGCATTTGATTGTGCCCGACCATAGTGTTTCTTTGTGAACTTCCCTACATGTCCGTGATAAATCAATCCATACGCCGTTCCATCAAATGTTCTCTCCTTCCACTTCTGCACATGCTTCACCTCCTCCTCCACCCCATAGCCATACTCCTGACTACTGCATTTATACATGGGATTGATTGCCTTTGTGGTGGGCAGAAACCGCACCGCCGGCAACCGCACCGCCGCCGTGTGTTCAATGATGAGATCCCGCAAATACGGCGGCACACTGTCGAGATCCACGCGGGCGGAGATAATGCCCTCCACCGCGGCATACTTTCCCTCCGCATACTCCCACGCAAAGTCCAACCAACGCTTGAGGGCAATTTGTGTGGGGACCTCTATTAACCGCATTCCCGCCAACTCCGATGGATAGGCAAAGAAACCACGCAACTGCGGCGGTAAATCCCCACGTGAGAAGATGGGCAACACGACATCGCGAATAACACGCAATACATATCCATCCGACACCGCATCTGGATCCGGCCACACAAGCGACATGTGTTGTGTGGAATAAATGCCGGTTGGGAATCCTTCAATGGGAATTACTGGCCGAATACAGGTTGGCTGCAGGAGTTCACCTATACGCCAAACACCAGCAATGACTTCTGTTAAGAACTTCTCTTTATCGGCGGTTCGTTCTTCTTCCGCTTCCATAGCCATACGTTCATGAAAGCGCATGAATACATCCAGTGTAACACCCCCTAGTTCCTTTACACAGTTATTAAATTGATAAATTAACATTTCACGAGCAGCAGAGGGCGCCATCACACCTTCCTTCACACGGGGATGTTTAGAGACATCATACACACGGCAGATATCCTCCAGTGGAACCACACCATTGCCTTTACGGTCTAATGTGCGAAACGCATGCTCGGCGAGAGCTGATTGCTCTGGTGTCAACATCACTCTGTATAGTTTTAAAGCAATTACAAACTTTTCTCTTGTTTTCTTTTTTTCTTTTTTCTTCCTTTTTTTTCACTGTTTGTTGGTTTGTTAAGGTTCTCTTCTTCTCCAAGTTACCCACTCACGCACTCTTCTCTTTTTTTTTTCTTTTATTTATTCTTCTTTCTTTCTCTTATTTTTCTCCTTCTTCTTGATGTGGACTCTTCTAGGCCCTACTCTTGTCGTCTGATTCTCTGATATTGTAAATATATATGATGTATAGGACCCTCAGTAAGACTATTAACAAAAGAAAAGAAAAAAGAATGAAAAAAAGGGAATTTGTAAAAAAAAAATATATATATACATACAGAGAGAGAGAGAGAATGATGGTCCGTATACTCTCATGAATAGTGTTCGAGTATCTCATGAGGCGAAAAGAACAACAAACAAAGAAAGAAACAATAGTGAAATGGCGCACAAAATGAATGTCAAAGGCATGAATACGTCTGGGAATGTCGGTGAGGTGAGGGATAGACTTAAAAGGGCACACCTGACTTTTGGGAAATGTAAACAAATACGAGAGGGGAGATTCTTTTTTTTTTTCTTTTCTTCTTGTTATTATTGCAAGAAAACCGTATATATATATA